GGAAAAAGTTGTTTTTCTTGAACCTAAAATGTGGGGGTTGACTTCTCATATGCAGGGCATCTTATAATTCAAACAATATGAAATGTGTGTGTGTATGTATATAATGTGTATATGCATGTGCACATATGCTCTGGATCTGCTTTTTACTTGATATCCATGTATAACATGCACTGATATTACTGTGAGAATTGTATGTGTTCATTGTGTGTATATTTACAGTGTGTGGATTGTATATCTGGCAATTAACTTCCTTTTGTCATAATCACAGTTCAGAGTAATTCCATGTGGTATGCACATATATAATCCCAGCCTTATCACATGTGGCCAGACACTTACTTGGCTTACTCAGTTCCTCTGTAGAATTATAAGATCATAAAAAATGAGGGTTGGAAGGGACCTCAGGAGGTCATCTAGTCCAACACCCTGCTTGAAGCAGGACTATTCCTAACTAGATCATTCCAGCCAAAGCTTTGTTGAGTCATGCCTTAAAAACCTCCAAGGAAGGAGATTCCACAACCTCTGTAGGTAACCTGTTCCAGTGCTTCACCACCCTCCTAGTGAGAGAGTCTTTCCTAATATGCAACTTTAAACCTCCCTTGCTGCAACTTGAGACCATTGCTCCTTGTTCTGCCACCTGTCACTACTGGGAACACTTTAGCTCAGGGGTGGGCAATTATTTTGGCTGGAGGGCTGCTTAATGAATTTTGGTGACCTGTCGAGGGCCACATGGGTAGCCTTGCCCCTTGACAGGTGCTCCACGTCCTGGTTGCTGTCTTGGGACTAGAAGTCCTGCCCCTGAGCCCTTGGCCTTTGCCACCATAAATCTCTCCCTTTGCCCCTGGAACTGCTCCTTTCAGCAAGGGTGTTGCCATCTTGGAAGCAGAAAAAAGACAAATTATATTTGAAAAATCAAACCTTTACTACAACATGTATTAATTTGATTTCAAAAAAATATTTTTGTCCTTATTTACATGTGTTTGCATAGTGTACATAGGGATGATTGTAAAATAGCTTAAAATGAAGTCTTACTTTTGTATATTGGGCAGGGGTGTGGAGAGGTATGGGTGGGTGGCTACAGCGCGCGTGTGTGTGTGGGGGGGGGATGGAGGTG